ACAGAGAGCCCTAGAAGGTACGGCTGTCCAGAGGGAATGGCCACTGCTTAGCTCTAGTAGACTGTTGCCTTGTGGGAATATAAGACAAAAGTTGTCAGATAATCCCATTTTGCAAGAGAGATCAGAAATCCATTTGTACAGGAATCTCTCACTTTTAAACATAGGCACCTAATTCCCAAATAATTAAAGCACATTTTACAAGACCTATCTTTGGGCTGCATTCAGGCCAAAGTGGCTATTTTGTAACCTTAAAATTAGATGAGTAGGTATGAAGTCCAACCTAGACACCATCATGGAGGAACTATTTCCAGTCCAGGGAGAAGGAGATGGCCGTGGCCATGAGCCTGACCAAGGAGGCATCTCACTGGGTCCTCTTGCTGCTCACAGTCTACTTGTACCTGGGCACAGAGCTGTTAGGAGCAGGACTATTGCCAGGTTGGTTACAAGCAAATTGCAATTTGTGCTCAAGGGAACTGGAAGCCACTGTGGGGGGCACATGGAAGCCAGATCTGATGAAAGAGGCCAGGACTGGCTGGATTCTACATCCAGCTCTGCCACCAGTTGCCTAAGTGACCCTGGACTTAGACGAAGCCAGTTAGTGACAGAGTTTAGAGAGCTCTCCTGTGCTAGAAGACCTTAGCATGGGCTCAATGTGTTTAAAAGATGCAGAAACTTGCCGAAAGTATAGTCATGCTCCACATAATGACATTTTGGTCAACAACAGAGCATATACAATGGTGGTCCCCTGAGATTATAACGGAGCTGAAAAATTCCTGTCACCTACTGACGTCTTGATGATCCTGACCCTGTGTAAGGCCTAGGCTAATGTGTGGTTTATGTCTTAGTTTTTAATGAAAAAGTTTTTAAAAAAATAAATTTTAAAAATAATAAAGCTTACACAATAAGGATATAAAGAAAGAAAATATTTGTGCACAGCTGTATGATGTGTTTGTGTTTTAAGCTAAGAATTATTATAAAAGAGTCAAAAATTTAAAAAATTACAAAGTTTATGAAGTAAAAAAGTTACTGTATACTAAGGCTAATTGATTATTGAAGAAAGGACCTTTTTCATGAATATAGTATAGCCTGAGTGCACAGTGTTTATACAGTCCACAGGAGTGTGCAGTAGTGTCCTAGGCCTTCACATTCTCTCATCACTTAGTTACCAACTCACCCAGAGCAACTTCCAGTCCTGCAACCTTTCTTTGTGGTAAGTGCCCTATATAGATGAACCATATTTTATCTTTTATGCCATATTTTTACTGCACCTTTTCTATGTTTAGACATACAAATACTTACCGTCGTGTCCCAATTGCCTACAGTATCCAGTTGCATGCTGCACAGGCGTGTAGCCTGGGAGCAATCGGCTGTCCCGCACAGCCTAAGTGTGTGGCAGGCTCTACCATTAGGTGTGTGTGAGTACACGTCATGATGTTCCCAAATTGACAAAATCCCCAAATGATGCATCTCTCAGAACGTATCCCTGTCGTTAAGCGACCCATGACTGTATAGGCAAGAACGCGGTGATGGTGCATTTTTTTTTTTTCCAACAGAGTCTAAAGCTTTCATTCCATACTGAGAAGAGTCTGCGATCCCAGAACTTTCAGGACCACTTAATCTGAGTCCTCTACTGTAGGGCCTGAGAGCTTCCTGCGAAGGTCCCCTGTAGTTGCCCATTCTGTGTGGCTTTACCCCCCGGGATGAAGCGTTGTCTTCGTGTGACGAACGCATAGTTGGAAAGTCACCGCATCTGCACCCCTCTTCTTAATATCAGACGGCAGGGCAGTGGTCCCCTCTCTCCCCACCACACACAAGGTTATGGGACAACGGGCATGACAACATTTTACGGCTTAAAAGTACTTTACAGACAGAAAGTGTTTTAATTTATTCTTGTTGTGCAGTGATCATCATAGTACTAAGTCCCTAGGCTACTTTTTAACTGATCCACTCAAACTCCGTCTGACTTAGTAACTGGCTCATCATTATTTTTCATAACAAAAATACTAATGAGGAGCAACATTCAGCACTGGAGACTCTTAGCAAACCTCAGACGCAACTGTCACCGAGGCTCCCACGTGTTCGTTCTGTTCTCTTCTCCTCCAGTCACGGAGCTGGGTCACCCTCCCTCCTTTACTGGGACCACCCGGGCCGCATCCAGGGAGTCCCCGAGGGGCAGCAGGAGGAATATGAAAACCGCTGCAGCCACCTCTGAGGCTTCTTTTCAGTGTATTCACCGTGGCCAGCACGACGGGGCTCACAAAGGAAGGGAAGAGGCAGCTGATATGAGAAGTGTGGTGCCCATGTGGGCACGCCTGCGACATTGCTGCCCCTGTAGACACCTTAAATCAGTGTTTTCCATTCAAAAGTCATGACACAGGACGCTCACAACCAGCATGTGTTTACAAAGGAGTAGTTAAAACCGAGAATAGAATACATCTCACAGTAGTGAAGGACAGTTTTATGTCATTAAATTTTTGCTTCAAATGTTTCATGAAATTTTTGCTTATACAGGATTTTTGTATATATATATGGGATTGTGATATAAATTGCAGTTCTTACTATAAAATACAGTAAAAAAAAATAAGTTGAGAGCCACTCGTTTCAGCCCCCGATGTCATAGGCGAGCTACTTGCCAGCATGTTGAGTCCCCAAGATGTGAATTTCCTTCCATAACTGATGTTAGCACAGCCTGACAATTAGGGTATGATGGAAAAGCAAAACAGAACAAAAACTTGGCAGTCAATATCCAAATATTCAGATATTACAGAATCTGTTTGATATGGAAATTGATCCTGCTGTCCAGACAGCAAACAAATCTTTTATTAATAAAGTCCACTTCCACCTTAATGAAGTGGGTTTAATAGTTGGTATCTCAATAATTACTTAGTGCATTTTTAATAAAAGTGATGGGAAGCAAGTGCTGCTTCTGAGTCAGAAAGATTCTCTCAAACTTTTGCAAAGAAATTTCCCTGAGTTTGTGAGACATTCAGCCACAGGAAGATTAAGGAATAAAACAATACTGCATAAAATTCTTTTGTGCTTCTGGATAAGATAAACCTAGAACGGCAAACTGGATGCCTTCAAAAATGCATCATTTATTCCAAGAATACAATATTTCCATTTTCTTTATTTATGTTTTAATATGATTTTTTTCTGCTTCTCCTTTCTTTATGGGGGCCACCTGGCAGCACCCCCAGAATGCCTAAGGGGAAACAGGAAGGATGTGAAAAGCAAGCAGCCCCTTCTGAAGTTTCTTCAGAATATATGCACAGTTGAATATATGCACAGTTATCTATATGTGCATTTAAAAAATGGAAGTGCTATTAGATCCAATGCTAAGAGATTTAAACCAACTATTGACTTCTATTTTAAAATGAGTTAAAAAACACATATGAGCATTCTCAATTAGACTTATGTGAATTGTATTCCTTTTCTTTTGCTTTTTGCTTTCTTTCATTTTCATTTTTTTTTTTTTGAATCAGCCTTTTGATTTACATAGAAATGCTTCAGCATTTAGGTAATTGCTACTTAACTCATTAGCTACAAACATAACAATAATCAAAGGCTCTTTAAGAATTATGAATTATGAGGAAATTGGCCACTTGTTGCTATGTAATATAAACAGTGTCTTATTCATATTGAATCACCTGCCTCGCGCTCAGCAGGATAAGGTGATATGTATTGCCCAGCACGTAAGAAAGATGACAATTAGGAATTGTTACCAAGTTACTGGAGCTTTACACGAGCATCCATTACCTTTGGGGATATGTACAAGATACAAACTTAATTTGTTGGATTCCTTTTATATTGGAATCAAAGTCTCAGAGGGGAAAGTGACAATTGCAGAGAAAATCTGGTGCAGCAACGACAGTGATTAGAGAAATGTGCATGATTTAATGTACCTGTTCACCTTGTTCTCTGGTGTAGAAACTAAGCCAGTCCTCACTCTGGCTTGCCATGGGGAGGGACGTGGTATAGGCATGTTCCCAGCCCGCCCGTCTCAGCACTATTCTTGCCAGCCCAGATTTACAGTCATTCAATATATGGATTTGGTAATGTCTGCATGACAACAACAGGCAGGGAAAGTTAGATGGTAATTGATTCTTGATTGGTGTAAATTTATAGAAAGCATTCTGGCAAAGCCCAGAGGAAGACATTCACTCCCCCCTCTGTAATGGTAAGACGTTGAAAATTCCACTGATTTGGACTATGAAATCCTTCAGTAGGAGATGGGCAGATTCCTCACTTTAACTGACACACACTTTCTAAATAACTAGTACAACGGTATATTACATTACAGTACATATGCGAGGCATACTTAAACTACCACTTACAACAACTGGTTTTAGAGCCTCTCAAATGCTTTGTATAAAGTAGCTCCAATTTAAGTCATTTTCCCAGTATTTAAGGATAGCTAGCAGATATTACAAAATAAGACACTGTAAATACATTCAAATTTTTATAATTAATATTTAACATGCTATAATTTGCACTTTTTACTAAATCATGCTAACTTTTCCCGAGTTGGCCCAAATGGTGAGAGTTTACTCTGTTTTTTTAATATATTCATTATGTCCCTTTGCTGTTTGGAGGGCATTTTATCATTGTGCTCACTTACCTGGATCTCTGGAATATTCAGAACATTCAGTGAACAACAATTTGAATATGCAAAGAGGTTATTTTGAAAGCAAGGAAAATGTTTTCATATGGAATTGTTCTGAGCACTTCCGCCTTCATCTCTACTTAGAGCATGTTTATCTCCAACGCGGAAGCCCCTCCCTCCGCGGTGTCCGGCACGCCCACAGCGACGGGTGGGCGGGTGTGAGACAGACGGACTAGGCAGGGAAATAGGGCTCACGGCAGGAAGGCCAACGGCAGTGCCACCCCAGCCCACAGCCCGAAGTCCCTGGTCATGACAGCACTCTTTGCCAACCCAGACTATTGTCAGACAAGAGTGACCACTGAGGCCACCGCTCCAATGCCATCTCCTCTGGTTCCAGATAAGATCGAAGACGAGCTGGAGATGACCATGGTTTGCCATCGACCTGAGGGGCTGGAGCAGCTCGAGGCCCAGACCAACTTCACTAAGAGGGAGCTGCAAGTCCTTTATCGAGGCTTCAAAAACGTAAGCCCCACATGGCCTCCGAAGACCCTGCTCGGGATTGCCCACCTGGGACCAAAGTCTCCCAAGTGCCCAGGGAGTTCATAAGGGAGTTTCCCATATGCGTGGTTACACAAGGAAGGCCAACTCCTGAACAGGGAGGGGGACATGAGAGCGAGATCACGTGGCTGGAAAGGAAGGACGAGGCAATCTCAGGAGACAGTAAACTGGCCGACTGCCCAGACACTTCACAGGTGGCACAACCTTGCAGGATTCACCTTGGCCCAGGTTCTAGCCTTAGCCCTTCCCACGGTCTCACTTTCCATCTTGCTGGTGCCCCCAAAATGATGGGGCTTGGGTCTGCTGACCTACACTAACCAGGCTCACAGAGACTGATGTATAAGCCCGGATGTCACTGTATTCATTCTCCATGGGAAATATAGAACTGGTAGGGGGACCAGGCACTCCTCTCCCCTCGCTGGGCCCTTCTCGCCCTGTGAGCCCTGCAGAAGCCGAGTTATAAGCAAAGGCGGAATCAGAGGGTGGGAGTTCGTTGTTGCCTCATATACATTAATACATTCCTGCCTTCTCGGGGCAGTTTGGAGCTCTCAGATCCCATCCGGGATTGTTTTTATAGCTTAACTCTTAGAGTGCCATCTTATTCCTAGATCCCGGGTTGGGGTGGGGTGGAGGGAGGTGCTCCTGCTTACCCTCCTTCCAGATGCAGTCTGCAGGGAGAGCTTAGCTGACCCTAAACTGATGACAGTCTCAATGTTCTCCACGGCACTGACCCACGGGGACTCCAATGCCTCCTGGGAGTTATCTGACAAGAGCCAGGATGCCTCTAGGTTCTACTGTGCTTGCCATGTGCCTGGTTTCCTACCATTGATGCTTCTGTCCCTCTGATCCTGAAGAAGCAGGGTTAGCCATGGGTTGGAGCAAGGCTCCATGGGAAGGTTGTCCAGACGGGACTGGGCTGAGGGGAACAGCATCCAGACAAGAGAAGAGGGCGACACTGCTTGGTATTTACCATCGACTCGGTGCCACCTAACACAGGCTCACCTATTAAACCTCATGGTAGCCTTGTTAGGAAGGTACTGCCAGCCCCGTTTTACAGGAAGGATGATGAGGATCAGGGCCTGACTTGGCCAAAGCCACAAAGTTTCGTATTAGCTGAGCCAGGATCCAAGCCTAGGCCTTTCTAATCCCCAAACCCAAACTTTGTCCACCTCGCAGTGCCCTTTCTCTGACAGTGTCTCAACATTTTGCAAGGCAGCTTCAGTCCCAAGGTGAGGCCACCTCCGGCCACTCCCTTGGAGACATGGAAATGCCCTGGCGCTTGCCCAGCCGCTGCCCACCGAGCATCTCGAGCAGCCCTGGACCCCAGGGTGGGCCCTCACACCCCTCCCGCTCGCTCTCTCCCCTTCGCACAGGAGTGCCCGAGCGGTGTGGTCAACGAGGAAACATTCAAGCAGATCTATGCTCAGTTCTTCCCTCATGGAGGTGAGTCTGACCTTGCCGACGTCCCGCCCGGACCCCTCTGCGGGTGCAGCCGTCCTTCCGCCAGGTCCACTCCTGCTGCTGCCCGCCCCTCCGGGAGGGGAGAGACCTCAGAGCAGGAGGCCTCCCGTAGCACACGCTGTGCAATTCTCTCAAACTTTAGCAGAAAGGAGCTCTGAAAATGGACCCGCTCCAGAGGGGAAGAAAAACTGATAATGCAGTAACATAGATTCTCACAATAGCTCTAGAAAGCAGGTACTGTGATCCCAGATGGGGTGACCGAGGTCCAGAGAAGTTAAACAATTTACTCGAGATCACACAGCTAGGGAGCAGCAGACCAGGATTAGATCCCGTAATTGTCTCAGGCAAAGCTTTGTCATGTTGGCTCCACCATTATACAGAACAATTTCCACTCTTGTTATTGTCCATTTTTCTTTTTTTTTTTTCTTTCCTTTTTTTTGAGACAGAGTCTTGCTTTGTTGCCCTGGGTAGAGAGCTATGGTGTCATCCTAGCTTACTGCAAGCTCAAACTCCTGGGCTCAAGCTATCCTCCTGACTCAGCCTCCTGAGTAGCTGGAACTACAGGCATGTGCCACCATGCCTGGCTAATGTATCTATTTTTAGTAGAGATGGAGTTTCACCCTTGCTCAGGCTGGTCTCGAACTCCTGAGCTCAAGCCATCCTCACACCTCGGCCTCCCAGAATGTGAGGATTACAGGCATGAGCCATCACACCCAGCCTCTACTCTTGTCCTTAAAACAGCTGAGACAAGCAGAATTTTGAAAAAGAACTTTAGTAAATACCAGAAACTACAAAAAATAAATGAATCCAAAAAGAGGCAGGGAGTGTAAAGTTTGTGCTTGTACAGCCAGGTCACGGGTGTGCCAGCCCACAGCACCTGCTCTGTTGCCCTGCCTGACTCCTGCAGGAACCAGCCTGAGCCCCATGGGTCTGGGACCACATAAGTGGCTCCTCCTGTGGCCTCCATGTGTCACATGCCACCTTGCATCCTAATCCCGAGAGCTGTCTCCTGCAGGACTGCTTCCCTGGGTCCTGACAAAACAGAGATCCAAGTGTCCCAACCATTTCCTGGGCCCTGTTTCTCCTGGGCCTCTTCAGCCGCAGACAGGTGCCTACCTAGGTGTGGGGCCAGGGCAGCGTCCCCACCCAGGTAGAAGGCGAGTTTCGTCCCATGCAGGCCCCAGAATCCGTTTACTGAGTTCCACTGAGCCACTCTTTGTTGAGCTTTCCCTATGTGCCAGGCAGGGCCCTAGTTTAACATACTTTTTCAAAAATTCCAAGAGATAGGTCTCGCTACATCCCATTGCACAGAGATGAGAAAGGGAAGCTCAGAGAGGTTGCGTTAGATGTCTATGGCCACACACCCATGTGGTGACAGAGCAGCGTCCGAGCCCAGGTCTGTCTGCTCCGGAGCAAGTGCTCATCCCACCGCGTTGTGCTGCCACTCAGGAGAACATCTTCACGCAGTCACCACGCCCGTTCATCCTCCAGATTCCACGCACCGGCCGGCAGGAGGGCGGTTCTCTCGGGATGGCTCGATCGAGGGGCAAGGGCGGGAATTCACTTCCCACCTAAACCCCAGGAGTCGAGCAAACAGGCCCCACTCCATGACTTCCTCCTCCCTGGCACCCCGGCACCCCCTCCTCTCTTTCTTGTCGAAGCGCTGCCTCTGTCTGAAGTGCTCCCGCGCCCCTGCGCGGAGCCCCTGCCCCACCACCCGCCCTCTCTTCCCGCCTTGCAGACGCCAGCACCTACGCCCATTACCTCTTCAACGCCTTCGACACCACCCAGACGGGCTCCGTGAAGTTCGAGGTACGCCGGTCTCTCGGGTCCACTCTAGGGGGTCCCTGGTTCCACCTGGCTTTCCCTCTAGACCAGGTGTCCTCAAACTACAGCCCGTGGGCCACATGCGGCCCGCGGAGGACATTTATCCGGCCCACCTGGTGTTTTTGCCGCTGCCTGTCCTGCTTAGCAGCCGACTCATCCCGGGCCCACAGTGCGCATGCGTGGAATGTGCGCCGCGCTCTCCAACGGCCTCCAACGGTCTGAGGGACAGTGAACCGGCCCCCTGTTTAAAAAGTTTGAGGAGCCCTTCTAGACCTTGGGGCACCGGGGGAAGGGCTGGATCATGGAATGCTCTCAGTCACGACAAAGAAACCTTCATTCATTCCATAAGCATTTCCTGAAGGCGGAGAGAAGCAGCAACGTCCCCAGCTCCCCAGGACTTCCGGGACTGGGGGAGTGACAACCGCAGTGCAGGAGCTCACACGCACACTGCTTGCCGTGTGGTGGCTTCAGTACTTAGTGCTTTGCATGTGTTAACTCATTTAATCCCCATAATAGCCCTACAAAGTAGGGTTCTATTTTCGGTGGCTTTCCCAACTTCAAACAGCTAAGAAGTGTGGAAGGAGAGACTTGAATGGGGGCAGCGTGTCCCCATAGTTCATGTTCTTAGCCACTGACGGTACCGCCACTCAGATGACAGACAAACCCCCACAGCCCCGGGGCAGGGCTCCCTCAGGGGAGGCTGTGTGGGTCTCTGTCTCACCCAGAGATGGGGCAGGGTAGCGACAGGAAGGCAGGAGCTCCTGGTTGAGCGTGGCCGCGTCCTCCAGGCGGACAAGAGGACGTGGGAGGCACCGTCCTGTAAAAGCGTCACAGAGTCTGACCAAAGACACAGCTTCCCCTGCCCGGAAGCTCGGTGGTTAATGTCACTCCTGCCTTTTCCACTCCTCAGGACTTTGTAACCGCTCTGTCGATTTTACTGAGAGGAACCGTCCACGAGAAGCTAAGGTGGACGTTTAATTTGTATGACATCAATAAAGATGGATACATAAACAAAGAGGTAAGTGAGCTGAAACCAGGGGCACGAAGGAGCTGCACTGAAGGTGCCTGGGCGAATAGAAAGCAGCCCCAGTCACGAGGGTGACATTGTCTCAACCAGGCAGGATCTGCCTTGGAGCGGACAGAGCTGGTCCCTGGCAAAATGAAGAAGGCTACCTTTGGCATCCCACATCGCCCTAGCTGCCCTGCTCCCAGCTGCCCAAGAAAGAATTAAACAGATCCATTCCAACTGGATCACGCAGATTCAATGTGCGTTGCACAGGGGGTGAAAATGACTTGTTTGCGTGTGAACAGCTCCTCTTCCCTAAGGAACCTGCACTGGGGACAGGTTAGCAGCCACTAGTGAAAGCAAAAGTTGAAACGGTAGAATTGCAGGCAGCATGTAGAAGAGAAAAGAGAGATTTTTAAGTAAGAGGAGACTAAAAGTGGATCATATTGGCCATAACCTATTTTGCCCACTAATGAAACCACAGAACAGGTGACAGAAGGCACAACCATCTCTAAAGAAATCATTACAAATAATGATTCTGAACCTTCACTGCTTGACACTTTTAGAACCTCAGAGTACATGTGTCTAGAAAGTGAAACATCCAAAGATCTATCTCAAAATTCATTTTTGGTATCTACCGTGTCCTGGTATCTCAGTGGCAGTGTGAATTAAGCCTCCTGTAACATCCTACTTACTGAGCTCCATGCAGGCAGGGCGCCTGGGGGTATGAATATCATCTCTAACCTTCCCCTCAATCCTACAAGGTTTTCTCCTTACACAAAGAAAACTGAATCTCAGAGAGCTTACCCAACTTTTATTCCTCATTCATTCAGTCATGCATTTGCTTAACACATATTAAAGGGCTTATTAGGTGTTCTATGTGCTAGAGGTCAACAGGTGAACAACCAGACTAGCCCCCCCCCCCACTCAAGAAGCAGTGTAGAAAGATGGACAATAGACAAGTAGAATATGGTTTGGCAAGGAAGGTTAGCAAAGGCCACTATAAGGAGGTGTTGTCATACTAGAAGCAGTCATGCAAAAAAGCCAGCAGGACAAGTGTTCCAGGCAGAAGGAGCAGCCACTACAGAGGCTTTGGGGCAAGATAGAGTTTCATGTGTTCCAGAAACAGAGAAGCTTCCAGATGGCTGCAGATTCAGGTGTGGAGGAGGAGACTGGTGCACAATGAGGCTGACAGGTTGGCAGGGTTGGGTGGTGAGGGCTAAGGTGAGGGGCCCATCCATATTCCACTGGGAAACTGCTAGATGGACATGTTCTTTGAAAGACACAAAGTACCCAGGCAGGAAAGACCTCAGTGGCCATGTGAATGCAAAGGGCTTGAAAAGCACACATTTTAAAATAAACACATGGATACAGACATATATTTCCTAGCTCTGTTGAGGGGGCCTTGGAGCAATGACACTCCTATGGCAGCGAGCACACCTAGCATGTAGACCTTGGTTTCTAAACACCATTCTTAATAAAAAGAACCAATCTCCTTTGAGAAGTGGTTGATTTTAGTACTGGGAAAGAGAACATACAAGGTGATCCTGTAGTATCTTTTGGTACCAGAAAGTATAGGAGTGCTTTAAAAAAAAATGAATGGGGCATGTCAAAGGCTATAGGAGTCAACCTGAAGGAGTTCTCAATAGTGGAAACTAGAGCAATTTGAGCAAAATACAAAATGATTAGGTTTACAACCTATGGACTGTAAACCTATTAGGTTTACAACCTATTAGATTACAACCTATGAAATACGGTAAACTTCCATGAGTCCACACTAATATAAAAAAACAACTGAATACATAAATAAATGGGGGAGAAGGGGCAGCTCTTCCTAACAGAAGAATTCAATTAATAAATATAGAAGGAATAAAGGAAATACAAAGTTACCATTAGGCAAACACCAGAGTAATAACTTTTGTAGGCAAGATACACTAACAGGTACTACAATCAGTAGACAAATATTAAAGACACTACCTTAATTAAATGATCAAGGTTGACATCACCAGTAATAAGACATTCTAACCCAAGGCACCTCCCTGATGTGATACACCGAGAAGGATATAACATCACTTCTCTGATATTCCTGCCAAAAATGGGTAACTTCAGTCTAATCATAAGAACTAAGCCACTGAGAGACAGTCTACAAAATAACTGACCAGTACTTACCTCCTCAAGTTCCTGAAAGACAAGGAAAGAATGAAACTTACAGATTAGAGGAGACACAACAAATAAATACAATGTTGGATCTTTGAAGAGAAAAAAGACATTTGTGAAAAGACTGATGAAATTTGAGTAAGCTCTATAATTTAGTTAATAATTTTGCAGCAATGTTAATTTTGTGATTTAATAATTGTGCCCTGATTATGCAAATTGTTAACATTAGAGGAAGTTGGGTGGAAGGTATACATGAATTCTCTGTACTATTTTTGTAACTTTTCTCTAAGTCTAAAATTATTAATAATTCCCCATAATATGCCGAAATAAAAAAATCAGTACAAAAAAAATTATTAATAATAGATTAAAACCAAGTCAAAACTAAAATAAATAAAATAATAAAATAAGCATCTGGAATGAGAAGTAACAGTAAAGGAACTCAAGGTAGAGGCTGGCCCCTGGGTCTCTGTGGAGACATCACACATCCCGAATATTCTTCTATCCCTTCCCGGATAGGGGCCAGAGTGGTCAGAATAATGGCTCCTAATGTGCCCTGATAAAAATAGCGATTCCTGAGATGTTCTGATTCAATAGTTTTGGGGTGGACTTGAGAACTGATCTTTCTAGTAAGTGCCCCAGTCCGTGGAACCACTGGCCCCGTGTGGCCTATCGATTATCTTGACTGTTGGTACATTTCTCTTAACTTAAAACAGTGACTGAACCTGTGGGGATTTTTAAATCTTTAAGCCAGAACATTAACTTTTCTTTAATTCACAATAATATTTCATTTGCCCCAAGTCCATGAATGGGGGACCCCACACGTCACCCCTCACCTGAAGACAATGCCCAAGAAGAGGTAACCTGCCCAAAGATTCTGAAGGCAGAGAAAATTTTCTATTGTCTGCTCTCTAAGAGGAGGCACTCGGAATACAGCCTCTTCAGCTTTCTGACTCCCTTTAATCCGCCGACGAAGGTCCTTCTGATCACTTTCATTGCAAGGGGGACAGGGAGCCCCAAACTCTGCCGTCTAAGAACTTGACCTCATGGTTCCCACACTGTGCGCTCTCTTGTCCCCTCTCCAGGAGATGATGGACATTGTCAAAGCCATCTACGACATGATGGGAAAGTACACATATCCTGTGCTCAAAGAAGACACTCCAAGGCAGCACGTGGACGTGTTCTTTCAGGTAAGCGCGCACCCTGCCACGAGAGCTTTAAGTCCAACTTAGATCTGTCCACCCAAGAGCATCCACGCAAGTAGCTTGTGTGCAACCCTACACTAAGCATTGTTGGAAACAGAACAGAATTATAAGATACATTGTCCTTGAGGAAGAGACGATCGCATTAAGCAGACAAGTACACTCTACAGACGAGAACAGGGAAGTGTGTTGTTAAGTGTAAGTGGCATAGTATGAACTCTAAGTTCCATACAAAATTCTTGGAGGATCGGAGTAAACACAAAACTTCATTAATCACATCTGTGGAGGTGTTAAGCACTTGTGTCTGGGCAGTGAGGAGAAATAAGATAGGAAACTAGTGTGGGGCCAGATTGTGAGAGCTTCAAACGGAAGAGTTTAGCCTTTTGGTAAAAGATGCGTGGCTTTGATTCTTAAGTAGGGGAGTGGTGTGATCATAGTGGCATTTTAGTAAAACGTTAGTCTAGCAACGGAGTATTGAGGAATGTCAGAGCTCCCTCCGGTCCAGTGTCCCACTTTGCAGATGGGGAACCCCAGGCCTCTCTGGCCTTACACAAGGTCGTGCAGTAAGTGCCAGAGACAGCATCAGAACCTCCTGTGTCCAGTGTCCTTCCTGCCACAGGGACAGGCTAGTGGGGAGTCTAGGTAAGATGTGTTAGGGTGTCAGCAGAATAAGGCACAATGAATGCTGGGTATCTGGAGCAAGTCTTCTGGTTTAAGGAAGTTCATGGGTGTCAACGTGCTGTCACCAGGGACTGACTGGAGTTGTCTGGCTGGTGAAAGACCACCCTCATTCTGAGGGCAAAGCTGGTTCACAAGCAAGAGATGGAATGCAGATCACCAGGTTCTTTAAAGGGCTTTCTGTTGTGTCTTTCAGAAAATGGACAAAAATAAAGATGGCATCGTGACTTTAGATGAATTTCTTGAATCATGTCAGGAGGTAAGGAGAGATCTCAGGGCACACTAACTCTACATCTGGGGCTTGGGGACCTGCCCCCAAGGAAGGGAATGAGAAACCTGCACATGCCTGCAACCCCTCTGATCAGAGCCAACAGCAACGGCTCAGCAGGCCAACAATTCCACTCCTCAACCTGGCCTGTGGCTGGTCTGGGCTAAGCACAGGACTGAACAGACAGCCTAAGTAGGGGCCTGGGGGGATGTAAAAACCCAGAGAGGGGTCTCTGTGAAAAGAGAGTTCCCAAGTGGGCAACGCTGTCATTTTCCTACCTGCCTTTAGCTCAATGCCCCACTCCCCTGGCTATAAGGGAATAGCTAGGGAAAAAAATCTACAGCTGTGACTCTCAAACCATAGTGCATATAACAATTGCCTGGGATGGGCCGGGCACGGTGGCTCCTGCCTGTAATCCTAGCATTCTGGGAGGTCAAGGCGAGCGGATTGTTTGAGCTCAGGAGTTCGACACCAGCCTGAGCAAAAGCGAGACCCCATCTCTACTAAAAAAATAGAAAGAGATTGGCTGGACAACTAAAAATATATAAAAAATTATCCGGGCATGGTGGCGCATGCCTGTAGTCCCAGCTACTCAAGAGGCAGGAGAATCACTTGAGCCCAGGAGTTTGAGGTTGCTGTGAGCTAGACTGACGCCATGGCACTCTAGCCCGGGCAACAGAGTGAGACTCTGTCTCAAAAAAAAAAAAAAAAAAAAAAATATTGCCTGGGATAATTCTAAAAACGCACATTTCCAGGCCTCTATCCCAGACACTCTAGATCTAGGGTAGGGTCTAGAAATCCTCATTTTAACACAAATGTCCTGGACCAATGCTTCTAAAACTTTAATGTGCACAACAATATCCTTGAAGATCTTATTAAAATCCAGATTCTAATTCCATAGGTCTAACATTCTTCCAGGTGATGCTGGTGCTGTTGGTCCTTGAACCACAATTTTCATTGTCTAACAAATAAACTGGCCCCAGAGTATCTGCCGGAGATTGAACTGGAGATAATTGCTTCATCTACTTTAGAGAAATGCATTTATATCCCTACGTTATTTTAGAAAAGTGCACAGTTACTCTGAGCTCCAACCAAGAAGAGCTGCAAATGCAAGAAAGCAGGGGAGGAGTTATTAACACATTCTGGGCACCTACCTAGTGCTCTGAGCACTACATAAATGCCACAGCAACCCTATGATGTAGGTGTCACCCTATATGCAGGGTGACACTCAAAATATTTAACAAGTAGAATGGACTGAATATTGACCGCTTGCAACTGACTTTGAGCAATCAGGGCCTTAGATGATGCTTGCTAAGGTGGGTATTAACTCATTAGTTGATGAATCTTTGGGTGGCCCAGGGGCCCCAAGCAAGTCACCATGTAGCCAAAGGGGAAGATTCTGGGGTTTGAGAGGCAGCTCAGGACAGCAGCTATTTACAAGTAGGATTCAAAATATTTTAATGTTTAATCATTATGAACTGGCTGGACAGCAATATTGATCATACCCATTTTCAAGAAGAGAAAACTGAGGCACTGCCAGATTAAGAGATGTGGCTAAGGCCACAGTAAGTGATGGAGATGAAACTTGAACTCTGTCTTTCTAACTTTAAATACCATGACCTATGGAAGTGTGATTTTTTTTTTTTATCTTGCTTATCAGGTGAGAGAGATTTTTAAATAAATTTAGTTTTTCACATTAGCAACTTTTTCTATTGCTATTCATTAATTAACTCATTTCTTTTTCACAACCCACCCTAGAGGTAGATATGCTCAACCTTATCTTACACATAAAGACACTGACTCACAGAGAGATTAAATAACTTGCTCAAGGTCACATTACTAAGTGACAGATTCAGGACTTGAATTCAGGCACCTTGAATACTAGGCAATAATGTCTCCCTGTCCTAGCAACTTTTAAAGATTCAAGTCACCAGAATTAACTTTTGTCTCCGTTGACTTTCTCTAACATAGGTCTATATGCTAGTTCCTTAAAATGTTACCTAAATTATTTTCTTCCTTCCTATTTATTTCATTTTTCTAGGATTTATTTCTAGTTTTTTTTGAGATAGAAGTTTAGATCACTGATTTTCAACCGTTCTTTTCAAATATATATACTTAAAAGGGTAAATTTTGTTCTGGGTGCTACTTTAGCTGAATATTGCTTTAGGTCCCACAAATTTTGAGATGTCATATTTTCATTATATTTTAATTCAGAATATTTTCTTCTGTGACCAATGGATTTAGAAGTGTGTTGCTTAGTATCCAACATTTGAAGATTTCATGTTCAGTACTACACTTCAAAGAATATATGATAGAAAAATGTAAACTAGAGATATGCAATAAGAAAACCAATAAAGCCAAAAGTTCCTTCTTTGAAAAAATCAATAGTTGATAAATGCTTATCAAGACTTATTTTAAAAAGAGAGAAAACTCAGATTATCAATATGAGAAATCAGAATATCAGAAATGAAAAAGGTAAAGTCACTATAGGCTTTACTACAGAATTAAAAAGATAATAGTTCATTATCCAATACATTTGATAACATGAAATCTATAAATTTCTTGCAAAACACAACTTATCAAAACTAACACAAAAATAAATAGAAAATCTGAATAGCCCTATGTCTATTAAAGAAATTGAATCTTTTATTTAAAACTTTCCCCCAGAGAAAATGGCAGGCTCAGAGGTATCACTAGTACATTTCTTTAAAGAAGAAATGATACCAATCTTATATACACTTAGGGAATAGAAAAAAAGGAAAAACTTCTCAACTTGATTCATGAGGCTAACAGACCCTAATATGGAAATTTGACAAGGCCATTACAAAAAAAATTCAGGCTAATATATTTTTCTGAACATACATGTAAAAAATCAAATCCAGAAATATATTTTTTAAAAGTATAATAAATCATGAACAAAGTGGTTTATTCCAGGAATGCAAGGTTGGTTTAACTTTCAAGAATTGGTCAAATAATTAATCACTTTAATAGAGTAAAAAGGAAAAAATGTGATCATCTCAGTAGACTTAGAAAAATCATTTGATAAAATACAATTGCCCAGAGATTCTTAAAAGAAGCAACTTGCTGTTTTACTAGAATATTTGTTTCTTCTGAATTTCTCTTTAAGGCTAGCGGAGGTGCTTCTTGCTTTGAGTTTATCACTTTCTACGTCCCCACCCCTTGCTCCTTGTTTCCCACACCCTTGTGGAGTTCTTTCCACATAGGATGCTTGGGGTTTGCTCACCAGAGTCACAGAGCTTCCCAGGGAAGAGCCTCAGAGAGTTCTAAACGTCCTCTTTTCCCTCCTCCTTCCCCAGGATGACAACATCATGAGGTCTCTCCAGCTGTTCCAAAATGTTATGTAACTGGTGACACTCAGCCATTCAGCTCTCAGAGACATTTTGCTAAAAGACCACCTTAACACCCTGATCTGCCCTTGTTCTGATTTTACACACCAACTCTTGGGACAGAAATATCTTTTACACTTTGGAAGAATTCTCTGCTGAAGACTTTCTATGGAACCCAGCATCACAGGGCTGTCTCTGATTGCCAGCTCTTCCTCTTCCTTCTTGAGAGAGACAAGATGAAATTTGAGTTTGTTTTGGAAGCATGCTCATCTCTTCACACTGCTGCCCTATGGAAGGTCCCTCTGCTTGAGCTTAAACAGTAGTGCACAATTTTTTGCTTCCATGACCCCAGCCCACTGCCTCCAAGTTGAGTAGAGCTTGATGAATCTGGAAGCAAGAAGACCTGAGCCAAGTGCACACCATTCTCAGATGGCCTCCCAAACCAATGTGCCTGTGTCTCTTCCTTTGGTGGGAAGAATGAGTGTTATACAGAACAATTAGAATCTACCATGACTAGATTGGGAGAGCCAGAACCTAACACATGTGCGAAAGGACTGAATTATTAAGCATGGCATTGTCTGATGACCCAAACTGCCCATGTCATTTGTATCCAGAGACAAGGACCAATAGTTCTCTCACAACTAACATCTGTGCTGGTAGTACAAGTCCCTTAACCTGCCCAGGAAGGGAGCCATTGCCCAGTGGTCCCTACCTCCACTCCATCCCCTGCTTGAGCCCAGCACTGCATGTCCGTCCCTCCCCCAAAGTCCAGAATGCCTGCAAATTGCTGTAATTTTATACCATGTTCTAATCAATAAACAGAACTATTTCTTACACTCTCAATCATTTCTTCCATGACTCCATTGGGTAGGAGAGGTAAGGTGTGAAAAGCAAAGGTTAGTCCATTCATTTGGCATCCAGTTCTTAGTACAGTCAGCCCTTGGTATACACAAGGGATTGGTTCCAGGAGCCCCACATACACCAAAATCCAAGGATACTCAAGTTCCACACTTGGCTCTGTGGAACCTGTGTCCATGAAAAACTGGCCCTCCGTAAACACAGGCTTCACATCCTGTGACTATTGTATTTTCAATCACATGTGGTTGAAAAAAATCCTCATATACATGGACCCACACAGTTCAAACTCATGTTGTTCGAGGGTCAGCTATACTTATGTTATGCCAGGGCTGTGCCAAGCAGTGGCATCATTCTTTCCAGTCCCCAAGCCTTCCCAAGCAAACATCCGATTCAAATGCAAGTAAATACTATGACCGCATGCAAATGTAATTTCAAGACAAGACCCTTCACAGCACCTTTCTTCCAACAAGATTTCCACTCCTAAGACCTTCTAATGTGGGAAAAGGGGGAAATGACACCACAAGGGAGCCCCTTGTGGTGTAGGTGGGGATGCAGAGATGAAGAGGCTGGAAGGACCCTCGCTGAGGGACTCGGAGTCCAGAGGTGGATCAAGTGCCTTCAGACTACACCCAGCAAATAATTACCTACGTTGAACATTGTGGGTGTTGGTTTCCCTTTTGACATCACATTGAAAAGATTAAGAGGTAACAGTAGCATTCTTGGAAAGAAAGCAATTTACCGACCCCCTATTATGTGCCAGGTGCTACACTAGGGGCTTTATTTACATTATCTTATTTCATGCTCACAGGAGAACATTCCAGAAGGTAGAGTCCTGGTTTTACTGATGAGGATATTGAAGCTCAAAGAGGTAAGAGGACCTGCCTAAGGTAGCACAGCTAAGAGACAGGGACCCCATAGGGATTAAACTCTTCTCACTCTATCATAGAGCCTTCCTACTAGGTGGATTCTGCCTCACCCCAAGGAACTGAGATACTTCCCACAAATCTCATCATCTGTAGATTATTCTTTGAACCCATGTAACAGACAAGGAAACATACAGAGAAGGGGAATGTCTCAGATAACCATGAGGGGGAGAGAAACATACAGAGAAGGGGACTGTCTCAGGTAACCATCACTAGCAGGAGCTGGTCACCAAAACATCTCCTGTGTTTGTAAAATACTCCCACTGTGATGGCTATTACTGTTGCCTCTCACATTTGAAAACTGTAGGAGCTGCAGGTCTATTCCCCTGTTTGGGCTTCTTGGGTGCAGCCCCTAAGGCTGCTGGACACGTGGCTGATCTCCAGCAAGGCATCTACTTAGACCCAAGTGGTGGATCTACACTCATGACCCTTCCCATGTGGGGTCTGAACCTGCATCATGAGGCTGTACAGTGTCTCAGCTGGTGGTCCTCTGCCCTAGTGACTCATCAGAATCACCTGGGGAACTTTGAAAATGTCCCGACCACAGAGCAATTGAAATACAATCTCTGAAGGTTGGGCCTGGGCCTCAGAATTCTTTAGAAGCTCCCAGGTGGTTGTCATGTGTATACAAGACAGGGCTAAGATGGGGAACAGACCACATCCAGTGCTAGGAATGGAGCACGTGTTCCGAGCCATCCCCCTGGCCACAGTGATGCAGGAGTAGGCCTGGAACCTAAGCCAATTCAAACGAAACGGCATGACTGGCCAGGCGCAGTGGCTCGCGCCTGTAATCCTAGCACTCTGGGAGGCCAAAGCGGGCAGATTACTCGAGGTCGGGAGTTCAAAACAAGCCCGAGCAAGAGCAAGACCCCGTCTCTACTATAAATAGAAAGAAATTAATTGGCCAACTAATATATATAGAAAAAATTAGCCAGGCATGGTGGCACATGCCTGTAGTCCCAGCTACTCGGGAGGCTGAGGCAGGAGGATCGCTTGAGCCCAGGAGTTTGAGGTTGCTGTGAGCTAGGCTGACGCCACGGCACTCACTCTAGCCTGGGCAACAAAGCAACACTCTGTCTCAAAAACAAATAAACAACAACAAAAAAAGCAAATGGCATGACTCTCACAACTTGTGCTGGGAATAATGAAACAAAGATGTTCTCTCTCCTATTGGACAGGAGTGAGAAAGCCTGTAGCCCTAAGACATGCTGCTAACTACTGAGAAATTCTGACTGGGCGTGGTGGCTCACGCCTGTAATCCTAGCACTCTGGGAGGCCAAGGCAGGCAGATTGTTTAAACTCAGGAGTTCGAGACCAGCCTGAACAAGAGCAAGACCCCAGCTCTACTAAAAAGAAATAGAAAGAAATTAGCTGGGCAAATAAAAACGTAAACATAAAAAATTAGCTGGGCATGGTGGCGCATGCCTGTAGTCCCAGCTACTTGGGAGGCTGAGGTAGAAGGATTGCTTGAGCCCAGGAGTTTGAGGTTGTTGTGAGCTAGGCTGACACCACCACGGCATTCTAGCCCGGGCAACAGAGTGAGACTCTGTCTCAAAAAAAAAGAAGGAAGGAAGGAAGGAAGGAAGGAAGGAAGGAAGGAAGGAAGGAAGGAAGGAAGGAAGGAAGGAAGGAAGGAAGGAAGGAAGGAAGGAAGGAAGGAAGGAAGGAAGATTCTGAGAATTTATCTGCTAATCAATGGGCTAATGGAGATATCACATAAAGCAAGGCAGAAAGATTAAAAAAAAACCAAAAAACCCAGAAACTAAGCCCTGGATGATATCATTGATCTGCTGAATCGAGCTGCACCTGGAGCTAGGCACACCTCTGCCCTTTTCAGTTACCTGTGTCAGATGCCTATGTAAGGTCTAGGCCAGTGTCTCTCTACCCTGGCTGCACAGAATCACCTTGGGAGCAGAGAAAGGGACATTTTTGAAGTGCCAGGTGCCTGGGCCTTATCCCAGATGAATTGGCTCAGAGTCTCTGCAGGTGCGGCCCTGAGCACCAGCACACCGTAAAGGCTCTCCAGGTGATTCCGATGCGCACCGAGGGCTGAGGAGCCCTGTTCTAGGTCAGGGGAAGGGCTTGTGCCATTCTCCCTGCATCATCCAGACCACAAGTAAGAAACCAACAGTCCTGAGCACACAGCGCTGAGAGGAAATCAGCAGCTGGGGACATTTGGAGAGGAGTCAGGGTGGAAGGAGGATTCAGAACTGACCTCTACATGGATCACCACAGAAAGGGACATGGTTATCCTGGCAGGCATGGGGGAAGGACACGCTGCAGCAATGAGAGGCTCCTGGCACCCTCTCCAACTTGTCCTCCTGGAGGGATCCTATCCTCCTGAACCGCCCATCCAGTTCTCACCATCACACCCGCTGGTGGGGACTCGCCGTGCAACAGGGGCTGTGGCTGTCTTGCCCATATCCCCTTGGTGGGCAGGTGGACTCAGCTGCTGCCAACCACCTCTGACTGTCACAGGCAGAGTCCGGCCATGACAGCCCGCTATGCTTTGGATGTCTGTCCCTTCCAAACCTCATGTTGAAATTTAATCCCTGATTTGGAGGTGGGTCCTAATGGGAGGGGCTTGGGTCATGAGGTGGATCCCTCATAAATAGACGAATGCCCTCCCTGCAAGGGTAGGGTGAGTGATCTCATCTCGCTGGATTAGTTCCCTCCAGAGCTGGTTGTTAAAAAGAGCCCCCTTCTCTCTTGACTCCTCTCTCACCTTCCACCATGAGTGGAAGCAGCCTGAGGCCCTCACCCAGTCTAGAACTTTCCAACCACAATCATAAACCAAATAAATCTTGTTTCTTTATAAATTACCCAGCCTCAGGTAGTCCTTTATAGCAACATAAAATGGACTAAAACACGGCCCTGCTCTGCCCGTGGACAGGGCAGGCCGGAAGAATCAGGTCATCATCAGGTTCTGGAAGTAGCCGTTACCAATGACTGGTGAGGGTTGGTGGGCAAATACCCAGACCCCACTCCTCTCGGTAGGAGGAGCTCTGCAGTCCCTTCTGTGCTGTCTTCTGACTTCCTGGGTGGGACTGAGCCCTGACCGCCCGCAGCGGCAACCTATGATGAATAGGACAGATATTTACGACCTGCTTTCATCAACCTCGTGTTCTAGCGGGAGGAAACAGACAACAAATGAGATGATTTTAGATAAAGTAGCATGAAGAGAATGCATGTGTGACATGTTGGAGAGTGACCACAGTGGCCAGTGGCAGAGGGTGGGGGAGGGGCACTACTTTAGACAGGGCGGAGAGTGAGGCTTGTCTGAACAGCAGCCTGCAGAGCTTGGCAGGAACTCAGGCTCCCCAGGGGCAACATCTACCTGAGTCTCCCACAACATTTGAGACAGGTGTCTATCCTGGGAGCCTACCTTGCAGACGAAAAACACGATGCCCAGAGACATGGAGGGACTTGCCCACTAGCTGGAAATAGGCTTAACAGTCTGCCAAGCTCCAAAATCCATGCCCAGCTTTATTTCTTAAAGAGTGTGAAAACCATTCTCCATCTATTCCTAAAACTAGCTCTAATGATACACAAACACCAGGAGGTGTTAGGAAACAGCTGTCATGAAAACTATTAGTAAAAAGCAATGGAAACAAACCCGTGACTCCAAGCCAAATTACTTTCCCTTGAAAGGCAATAATGCGAGTTCATGTGCAAAGATGGCCATATGGGTTTCTCGTAGCAGCTGAAATAAGTGTGTCCTTCCACATCAAAATCAGGCCCAACCTAAGGGGCAGACTTGGCAAGCTCTGCACCCTAGTCCAGTGCCTGACTGGGGACCAACAAAACTCAGGACTCAAAGAGTGGGGGTGCTGACCCCACCGGGCAGAATTTTGAATACCCTTGAGACTCTGGGGAGCTGACCACACTCCCAGTTCTAGGAACAGGGCACGTGTACAGGGCCAGGCCAACTCTTACCTCCGTGCCCCTGGCCACCGCGAGAGCTCAGAGGAAGGCATAAAACCTAATCTAGTCCAAACAGCATGGAACATTGGGGCTTTTACTGAGAACAATGAAGCCGAGTTGGTCATTTTCCTGCTGGAA